TTTTAACTGATTTTTTATTTATATATGACATCAGAATACATTACAATTCTTATTACACATATAGAGCATAATTTTTTCATATCTCTGGTTGTATACAGAGTATATTCACACCAATTCGTGTCTTCCTAAATGTATTTCTATAATTTTTCAAGGATTTACCATTTAAAATCTAAGCACTAATTATAAAAATACATTTAATTATTATAGTTAAAATAACCCTTTCAAATGTAGAAGAACTCAATATCACTTTTTATTAACTACAAAGGTGGCAATGTATCTATTAAACATTTACTTTTATACTTCTCGCAACAAGTTATTCTAATTAAATGAAGTTTTTAATAAGTGTGTGCTGGCCTATTTATTAAAAATAGTAATTAAATAATTGAATAGGTACATCTAGAAGCACCAATGTAAGATTAACACACTAGAAATTTCATATTATTTTTAATAAAATGCCAGTGGGGAGAAACCCAATTATATATAAACTAAACTAATTATATGATGATAACCATAATTAGCAAGTTTTTACTTTTAAATTGAATACTGTTAGTTTACTCATGAAATAGATATCCATCATAGCTACAGGAAAATAAATTCTAGGTAAGACAAATAAATATAAAGAAGATTAAAACCATTTTCAGAACATGAAGAGCAAAAGCATTCTTTTCATGATAAGTTCAGAAAGTATATTTAATACACATTCTTTGTAACTCATTGTAACAGGAGGTAGTGGCCTATTATCATTCTAGGTGCAAAGTAATGGAAGCAAAGGGAAGACAATGAGGACAGAAAACTGGGAAGGAGGCGAAAACACGAAAGGTAAGAAAGAGAGATGAGGAAAAGGAGATGAGGAAAAGAGAGATGAGGAAAAGGAGATGGAATTGAAAAGGAGAAAGGAAATAGAAGCTCAAAAGAAAAAAGAGAAAAAGAAAAACATGCATGAAGTTAGAGAAGGAGAAAGCTGAAATTTCAAAGGAGAACAGGGAACAGCAGTGCTATGCTCTGAACATGGTTTGTGGGCCAGAGTCCTACAGGAGATGGATCCCCAGAGCCCTGTGTCCATGGTGTCAAGAGGGTGTAAACTTAATCTGACTTTGCTTTTGGTGTTGGAACCCTCATGAATGAATGTGTGTGGCTTCATACGCAGAGGGAGAGAAACACACTGCACAGATATACAGAGGGGCTGTCTCCAGTCATGAGATGCTCTGTGCCCCTTGGGACTCTGACAGCAAGAACACTATCACCAGAGGCTGAATCAATCGGGTCTACGTGATCTTGGTCAGTGAATCCCCAAAATTGTAAGCCAATATAAACCTCTCTTCTTTATAAAGTTAGCCTGCCTTGATTATTTTATTATGTAATGAAAAATAAACAAATATAGAAAGCAGTCCAAAAAAAAAAAGATCTTTGGAAATATTAACTAAGTAAAATTCTACATATTTATGTCACTTATCAAGTCACTAAGCATTTTATTGAAGGATTTATTTATTTTTAGTATAAAAGTAATATGTTCATTGTAGAACCTTTAGAAAACACTGAAGAACTGCAACGTAATCATTTGGAAGCTGTCCGGCAAATAAATGTATAAACTTTAATATTTGCATGCATTTTCCTAAAATTTTATGTACATTTTCAACTAGTTTTTTGATTAATGACCTATACATGTAACTTAAAAAGTAGTTTTTTTAAAAAAGTAGTTTTTTACAAATATATTTTATTTTAATTCTGATAGGAAACTGATGGTATTCAACCATTAGAATAATCTATTAAGATTATTGAGATTTATTGCAGACTTATGGACATTGGGGGGGGTAGAAGGAACCTTGAGATATGCAGTGCTGGGCATGTAGCTCAGTGGTACAGCACTTGTGTAGCATGGGCAGGTCCTGGGTTCAATCCCCAGTACAGACAAAAAAAAAAAAAAAAAAGGATGGTATGGTAACCCAAGGCTTATGAGAGTTGTTAAGCCTGATGGTCAGGAGGAGAAAGTAGTTTATTAGGATCTCCATGCAGATGGTTGTGCATGGATTCCATATTGAGAGGTCAATAACTTTAGCCAAAGCTTACAGCCAATCTGTGAAGACTCTACAGGAACTGATGGATAGATAACTCCAAGTCACTTACTCCCTGTCACTAGTTGCCTACCTCATTGCTATCCCCTGAATCCGACTGTCAACCACAGGGCAACAGAACCAAAGTTATCTACACAAACTACTTCTGAGCCAGAGCACATGGAAGAGAAGAATGAGGAGTTAAATTTGGTTCTGGAATGGTAAATGGGAGCCATCCAGGGGACTCATATTACATTAAAGTTTCCTATAAACTCCCATTTTTTGTAATTTATAATATTTTTATTATCAATAGCCTTGTTAAAATAATTGAATTTAGAATCTTTTTTTTCAAAATAAAAAACTAAAAGTAAATAAAAAGGACATAAAATATCAAAAATTTATGACTAAGTTAATATTTTTCCCAAAATGGTGGCTCCAGGACTGGAGCCACCAGGGCTCGGTGGTAGATCACTTGCCTCGTACATGTGAGGCACTGAGTTTGATCCTCAGCACCACATAAAATAAATAAAGGTATTGTGTTTATCTACAACTAAAAAAAAATGTATGAAAAAATGGTGGCTTCAATTTATATTTCTGCTAGCAAGTTAGGAGAAATTATATCTTCATCTTTAAAGTAAAAATTGTATTGCTATGAGTTCCTAACAAATACTTACATGGCAATGTTTATTTTTCATTTCTTTGAAAATTATTGTGTTTTTTTTTCATGTTTGCTAAATATTTTAATTTTTCTTTTACAAGTTTCTCTTCGTGGCTTTTTTTCTGTGGCTCAAATGAGTTAATACTGATTCATTGTTGTATTTACTTTCACCAACCAAAAGACAGACTTCTCATTAAATGTACATTTTATTTCCATAAGTAATTGTTCTTTGAAAAGTGAACACCTGACCACTGTTTGTAGCCATTTAAAAAAAAATTTTTGATCATGAGATAATTATATTTGCCATTTAACTAGGAAGATCATAAAGACTTCCCTTAAACAGAAATGTTTCATCATTTATAAGAGACATATTTTGTAACTTGCAGAATAAATGTTTCATAATTTGCCACAATGTTATTATAAAAACATTGTCTTGTTATAGTAAAAAAAATAAAATTAGATTGGGAATTTCCTTTTAATCATCCTTTGTTAAAAGCAGAATATGCAATAAAATACAATAGTTGTCATTTATAAAGTGTGACCTGAATGTTATGAATTTATTTCATCCTTATTCAAAATCATTTGCTTATTTCCCTCTGAAGAAATTGACCCTATGAGGCATTAACTAACTTGAATAAGATCTCACAAGAAGTATATTATGGGATCATTTCATATCATGATTTCTCTAAGAATTTATGTAATTAATCCTTCCTTGTATTTCATTAACCATGCTGTCTTTATTTTAATAACTTTTGCTGTCACTGTTAGTATTGAACAGATTGAGTTTGCTTCTATAACCTTTTTAAGATATATACTGAGGTCAGGGTTAAAGGAATAAACAAATAATAAAATATATGCTAACCCATCTTTAGGCCAGACAAAACAACAGCAATAACAATAATAAAAACTACAATACAAATTTGAATCTGTCTTTGTCCAGGGCAGGCAGTTAGCCTCCATATGTTAGTATTGAAGTATGAAGATAGTATAAATAAGTATAGTATTGGTAGTCTTGCAATGTATAAATGGTTCCTGTTTTCTCAAAATATTATTTATCATTCAACTTTCCACTTTTATATCTGTGACTCTTCTAGCTGACGATATCTAAGACTCCTACTTCAGTATAAATGTGATACAGGACAAAAACATGATAGAAGAAGGTACCATTGTACTCTACTAATTACAAACCCTATCTTTTTTTTCCCGTCTGAAGACTGAACTTAGGGGCACTCTACCACTGAGCAACATCCCAGCCCTATATTGTATTTTATTTAGAGAGAGGGTCACACTGAGTTGCTAAGTGTTTTGCTTTTGCCTAAGGCTGGTTTTGAACTCATGATCCTCCTGTCTCAGCCTCCCAAGCTGCTGGGATTACAGATGTGCACTTCTACACTGAGCAAAAACCCTATCCTGAAGTCAAACTGCTTTACTTGATTCCTGGCCCTGCCACTTAGAAGTATGACTTTGGCTAAGTTGTTTAACCTCTCTGTGTCTTAGCTTTCTTATCCAAAAAAAAGAGAAAATAAAACTCCCTATCTCAGGGAAGTTCTAAAGATGAAAAGAGTCAACAGAATGAGCCTCATTTAGATTAAAATAGTTTATGTTTAATCATTGGAGCATAAGAGCACTGATCAAATAAATCTAAAAAGAAAAAAAGGAAGCAAAGATGAAAGAAAGGAATGACACAGGAAGGCAAGAAGCAATCTGGATATTTATTTCTAAACTTAGCTCAAGCATATGTTTATTTAACCACTCTACTGCCAAGTACATAAACACAATATTGCCTTAGCCTTGGTCACTTTGCTTGATAATGTGTATATCTACTTAAAAATAAAGTTGAATAAACATAAAATGAATAAAAGTGAGTATATTAAACTAGAAGATATAGATATCTTTAAGACAGTATAACATTTATAAAATAATATATTTTTCATGATTATTCCAAATGTCCATATAAGGTATTGTTCTAGAGGAACAACCTACATGAGGCCAATAAAGAATGAAGGGTTCAGAAGGTTGAAATGCACCTGCCTCATTCATCATTTATCATGGGATTGAGGTAGATAGTAGGTACCCCATTTTAGGCAGCTAAGATCCAATCCCAGCTGTAAGATAACTCAAGGCGCTAGATTTTTTTTATCATTCTTACTTATATAGTGTCAAATTGATAGTGTCCACACAGATTTCCCCATGATGGGTCTGAAGAAGGTTCTTCAGACATCTTGAAAAACATATAATGGCTATGTCAATGCCAGGCAGAAGTAGTCTAAAGCAACATCCTGTGTACTCACTTGCTGGGTTGTCCGTGTTATGTAGGCTCACCAATGGGACTCTTGGACCTGATGTTAAAAATATAAGTATACAAATATTTTTAAAGACATCTAAGTAACACTTATTGGAACTGTTACATGGCGGAATCTTTTTTCCAAATGGAAGCATTTCAAGATTAAAATGTAATGAAACTGAATCATATAAAGAGGTATAATCTGTTTTGTGGGTATTTTGTTCAGAGAATTAAGAACTCTGGGGAGTAGCACTATTTCCATAGATTTTGCTAAAACCTTCATGTACCCAAATGCCTTTTATTTATATACATCTTTGATGTTAGCCAGCCCTATGTGCTGTACTCTTCTATCTTTAGTCTTTATACAACAATCACTGATGTTGAGGAAGTTGATTCATGACATTTATTGCCCATGAGCTGATACAAAATTTTATTCTACTTGTAATCAGTCAAGAAAGAAAGAATTTATTTAAACTTGGAACTTTTACCTAAAAGATAATGAAAAAGGGGGCTGATAATATGTTTATTTAAAAATACATTAACCAAAATCTCAAACATTTAAAATACATAAGTTAAGTTTTTACCATAAGATGTTATCTTGAACCTCCCTTCTTAATTAGGAACTCTATCTAAAAATCCAATTTTCCCCCCTGGTATCATTAAAGAGGCATTTTTCTCTTTTGATTACTTCATTTTAGATACCAAGAGAACAATAACTAAAAAAGAGTCAATGTTAGTGTATTCCTTACTCTATCTTAAAAACGAACAGCTTAATGTTTAGACGGGAGGAGGAACACTCAATTCATCACATTATAAGAGGGCACATGGATTCCAATTTGTCTTCACAAAACAGAGCATCAGATTAAAGAGTAAGTGATTCTTAAGAACATTCTAAAAATACTATATAATCTTGGAAGACTATGGCATACTGTCAAAAAACAGAAGTAATAGGGGTGATGGGATTGCTCAGAACTAATGAAAACAGGAACAGAGAAATTTCATTTTCCATATATCCAAAATGTTTTTACAACAAACACATTGTTGTAACAGCACTGCTACTTTTCTTAAATAGCTGAGTTCATCAATGTATATTCATCTTTTTAAAAATACCCATGTTCATATAGCTTTTATCAATTATATACACATGAGGTCTCACTCCTAATTGCTAATTCTAAATGAAATATGTAAATAAAATTTGTATCTCTAATGTATAACAGTTAAATTTATTTATGGTAGTAATAGGTAACTCATCAAATCCAATCAGAAATCCTATGTTACCTTACCTTCACAGAATAATAAAAAATGTTGATTCAAGGGACTAAAACTGGCATCAAAATATGTACATTGTTCCTTCATAAAATTACATGAAATGCATTGGCGATTTAACAATCCTTCAGTAGAAGCACTGGAGAAAGAAAATGAAAGTTAGAAGTTACTTGAATGTGTATATCACATTTAAATAAAGTGTAACTTAAACAGAAAAGCTACATCAGTGCTTGCACAGAAGTTCCTTATAAATTATGACTCACCATACACATACAAAATGAATTTCCTTTATTAATGTTCAGACAAACACATTTTTCTTCTCTGTAATAAAATTAAAATTATGCATGCCTGTATATATGTAATATGTATTTATATATGGCTATAAAGAAACTGATTTCCATAGGACTCAATGTAACTTATTGTTATTTGCATTTTCTTTACACATATTTCTTTACTTTTCAGACTTAAAGGAAATTGGCCACAGATAGAAAGAGATAAAGTAGTCACTGATAAATGTCAGTTCAAAAAATAAATAAATATTTCTACAATTCACACAAAGTCAAGTTTATGATTTTCTAAACTTAATAGTCTAAGCATTAGAATTTGGCATCAATGTCATATTTTTCCTCCCAAAGTACCTATAGTAAAAAGTACTTATTGGAATTGTTACATGGGAGAGTCTTTCTTCCAAATGGAAGCATTTCAAGATTAAAATATAATGAAACTAAACCATATAATGAGGTGTAATTTCGTTTTGTGGGTATTTTGTTCAGAGAATTAAGAACTTTGCAGTAAAATGTTAGGTAAAGAAAAGTAACTTTTGTATTATAATACATATAATGCTAATGATAACACATGCTTTAATAAATACAGGAGGTAAAGAGAAAAGTTATCATCATCTTTATTTTACAATAATGGTGCTTAACATTATGGGGCAGACATATTCACCCAAGGTTAAATTACTTATATTGAATGTCTTATTTTGTAAATGATATTATCCTACTTAATGGATGAAAATATAACTAAGAATACCTTTTAAAAGCTGTACAAAATTTTCTCAGTTGCATTTTGGAATGAAACATGATTTGGGAATTTATATACAAATAGTATTCACATTTGTTTCAACATGCAGTGTGCTACAGTCATGGGATGGAGCTAGCAGTGTTAAAGTGGGTACCAGAAGCACCAGAAGCAATTAAGGTTGAATTTTAATTATAGTTCATAAGTCAAAATTTCAAACATTTGAAACATTACAAGCTAATTACAATTCATACTTTAACCTTACTAAAGGCAATATAATATGTATTTACTAGGCATGTAAAACAATTTAGCTAGTTTACCAGTATGATGACTTATAAGATAATCATAATCATTTATATTGTTGATTGTGATAAAATATATAGAACATAAAATTTACCATTTTAGCCATTTTAGGTATATAATCCAGTTTCATTAGTTATATCAGAATATTGTATAACCAGCAACACAGAGAGCCTTAGAAATTGTCCCACTTTCACAGAGCAATCCAGTGACTAAGACTTAAAACTTTTTTCTTTCTATGCTTCCATGAAGCGTTCAGATCCAAGCTCCCTAGATATTTATGCTGATATTTTCTCATTACTTAGATTATGAGATTGTCAGAATAAGAAATGCAAATTTTGAAACTAAACAAATGTAACACCAACTATGTTAATATAGTTCTGAGTATGCAGGGAATTCTGGGGCCATACATTAAGTCAGCCATTGACCATTTTTATAGCTTAAGCAAGACACTGATTGAGTTTTCTGGATCAAACACTAACATTATCTTACAGTCAAGCCAACTGGCATTTGATGAACTATTTAAGGGAAAATTTATTGGTACTACATTTTCTTTATAGCACAGTTGGTTACACTAGTACAGGTCATAGATATATTGACTGCTCTGCCTCCTCAGGAGAAAGATGAGGCAAGCTCACAAATCTTAGGATTCATTGTGATTCAAATCACATTTTACAATGGTAAAAGGAAGGGAGATTGAGGCAGTTCCATTTGCTCACCTTAACCAACCTTAAATTCTGACATGGTTTTATAAAACAGAAATAATAAAACAATGATCAAATAAACATTTTCAGCCTCTGAACGATTGTGCATTAATTATAATATGTGTTTCAAGAAGATAAGCTTAAGGTCACCAGAAAGAAAAAATGAGCAGAACTTTTGATTAACACCTTTAAACCAAAATTTGAATTGATATCTCTTAACAAACAGCTTTTCTTCAGTAGAAGAAAATGAAAGTCGTCAGAATTTGGGAACTTGAGTTCCAGAAAGTCCCAGAGAATAATAAAGAAAATGAGCCTCTGGGAGGTATGATAAGAAGGAGGGATTGCTTTGTAGGAAAGAGAATTGTGCATGAATGAGAGTGCAGGGGCGAATCAGGGGGAGTAAGGGTTTTGCTCTCAAAGGAACATCTAGGCTCCTTGGTAAGAATCAGAGGTGCTAATTCTTCAAACATTTCCACCTGAAATAGGACATGGCAGTTTTGACACTTAAAAAATGGACCTATGAAATGAAAATTAGAAAGTGTATGTGAAGTCTACAATTAATAGGTCATTGGCTGCCCCAAAATAAAAGTCCTTTCTTGTAAAGTCTGAAGAATGCTTTGTGAGTGAGGAGACATTGTAATGATAAGTAAGTGTGTCATGATAAGTAAGCTCTTTCTATGAATACAGCTCCACATTTTGGGAAAATTGGGCAGCTGTAAATATTCCTCCTCCATGCATTGTTTTGTTTCAGTTATGTGATGAACATTCCTTAAATAAGGATGCCTCTCCCACAGCAATCTCATTGGATTTTATGAAATATGGGACAAAAAAGGAAGCTTCTGCTTGATACTCTTGATAAGTGCTCACAGAACTATTGTGTTTTTTATTTAGGAATAAATTATATATGTGCCACATTAATGCAGCAAAAATTCAAAATGAGACTCAGCAGAAGAAGTGGATACTGGGGAAGATACATAAAGTTCAAATAATGAGGAGAATTGAGAGAAGCAAATTATAGAGAGAGAGGGAGAGAGGGAGAGAGAAGAGAGGGAGAGAGGAGGATAGGGAGAGAGAAGAGAGGGAGAGAGGAAGATAGAGAGAGAGGGAGAAAGGGAGAGAGGAGGAGAGAGAGAGAGAGAGAGAGAG